ACTGATTAGCAGAGGTTGCCACCACTTTCAGTTGTTTCCACATCTTGTAAACCCATCCAGCCCTTACAGAGAGAGGGCTGGAATCTGGTAGAAAATCTAGTGCAGTCTGCGCACAGTCTTGGGAGCACAGAGCTCCTGGGTTCTAAACCTCTCTGTGGTTCTTTTTTATTTTTTTCCCTCAATTAAAGGGAAAAAAGCCCTGAGCTGTCCTAGGAAGACCCAGCTTTACAATGGACCCAAAGGTCCAGAACGCAAGGAATGTAATGGACCTGGATGTAAAGCAGCAGCGTCTTTCAGCCTTGGAGCAATACCTTTTTCATGTCTCAAGAATCCATTCAAAGGGAAATCCTATAAGGTTTGCAAAGTCTCCTTTAGGATTCTCAACAAAAAACTCCACTACCTTTCAGTGGACAGTCGTTTGTGACTGTCATGCTAGGAATCACAGCTGGATGAATGATCAGTACCATTACATCCCAACTCAGAGAAAGTTAGTTCCCTGCTCTCATGTATTAGATTATTACCTCGGTGGTTGACATAAGGTTATACAAGGGGTGAATATATGGGGCCTAAAATTAAGCAGCCGATCAAACCTCTATTCCTAAGGACCGCGTAGGATGAGCAGTGGTCTGAAAAAAGGCTAGATGCTCCTGCCATGAAAGTGGATGCCTAATTCAGATGCATCAGAAAGATTATCACAAAGAAATTGTTCTTAGCATCCTCGACAATCAATTAATGAAGCATGTGGAGATCTAGTTCCCCAATCATCGTGTACAGCTCTTCCTTAAGTGCTCTTAAATATTAGAAAAAGCACTTAAAGTGAAATGCACTCACAGATCCTTTTGCTTAAGCTGTGACCTTTAACCCACAAGCAGCATAGCACTTATTTTTGTTGCGCTCACGAGTGCTTTTCCTGGGGGGGGAAATTGTCTTGTCATCAGATCGCACAGATTCTTCTTCGAGTGATGGTCCCTATTGTATTCCACTGTGGGTTACACACGCGCACCATGCGTCCTGAGCTACAGATTTTGGTCTGTCCATACGCCCTGGCTCACCTTGTGCTTCCAACCCAGGGGACTGAGGGTGGGGCAGACCAACCACCTCTCCAGTCTCTTCTCACCGCCACATGGTCCAGGTGAGAAACTTTAGTGTCCACAGCTTCAGCTTTCTTCTACAAAATAAGAATCATCTAGTCTGTAAATAGTTTAACAGTTCTAATAGGTTTTAATAGTTTTTAATGTTTTAATAGTTTTTTAAACTATTAGCCCCCCTCTCGCACTCCAGTTGGGTACCAGACTATGCCCAGGACTTCAGACTTCAGACTCTGTGCTCCTGCTCGCAATCCTTCTCAGTCAGCGATGACCACCAGCGCTGCCTGTACTGCCTTGGGGAAACTCACATTGCGGTGAGGTGCAGTATCCGCTGATTGTTCCCCAGCCATACCCGAGAAGGGCGAGAACTTCCTCTCCGCAAATCCTCATGGAGGCCATGAGGCCCCAGTTGGACCCAGGCCCGGGAACACCCCCCCACACACACCCCGTACATCGGCCTGATTCAGCAAAGAGTGCGCCTCCTGCTGTGAAGTCTGACTCTGGTGTGAGAGAATCTGCCTGCAGAGACCCTACGGTGGGGTCTTGTCAGGAAGCTAGGAAGCACTCTCATAAGCATGAGACTAAGTCTTCCTCTAAGTCCACTTGAAAGAAGTTGGACTCAGTTGTAAGCAAGCCCACTGGCTTGGCCTATGAGGATTTAGTAGGTCCTAAGTCCCAGAGGCACAACAAGAAAGTTCAAAGCATTGGGCTCCATTGGTACCAGACCATTGTCCATTGGCACAGTCATCCCCAGCTCCTCCCAAACCCCGGGATCTGTCCGCACCAACAAAGTCCGATCACCGCCAACTTCAGATACCACCCTGCTTGCCAGCTCCGATGGCCCAGGCAAAACCTCTCACACAGGGGAGATCTGAATCTGTTGCCGTTCCACAGGACATTTTGGCTCTCAGTTGTTCTCTTCTTGGGCAAAGCAAAGAGGCATTCTCCCAGAGACTACAGATATTCCTTTCATCTTGGACTATATCCTCTCTTTGTCCATCAGCTCCTTGCAAGTACACTTGGCGGTGATCAGTGCATACAATCCACCTTCTTGGGGCTACTCGATCTTCGCACAGCCGCTGACCAATAGATTCTGGAAAAGCCTAATCAGAACCTTCCCACCTACTCAAAAGCCTGACCCCCAGTGGGACCTGAACTGTGTTCTCTCAGTACTCACAAGGCCCCGCCTTTGAGCCTTTAGCTACTTGCTCCATGTCCCTCCTTTCCAGGAAGGTCGCTTTCCTTGTAGACATCATCTCAGTGAGAAGGGTTGGTGAACTTGGAGTGGTGATGGCAGATCCTCCATACACTATATTCCATAAGGATAAGGTTCTTTATACCTACACCCCAAATTCTCCCCTAAAGTAGTTTTGGTAGTTCACCTTAACCAATCCGTTCTCTTACCTGTGTTCTTCCCAAAACCGCACACTTCCACAGAGGAACAAAGACTCCACTCCCTCGATGTTCAGCGTGCCTTGGCTTTTTACAAAACCAACCAGGATGTCCCCAAGACTGTTCATCACCACAGCAGAAAAAGTCAATGGACACACCATCTCCACCCAGATACTCTCCAAATGGATCTCTGGCTGCATTCTACTCTATCAGCTTTTGAACCCCCAGCCCCCGAGGGGTAAGAGCTCATTCTAAAAGCGCGCAAGCAACAACTCTGGCATCTCCTCAGGAGGTACTCTTCCGGGACATCTGTAAAGCAGCCCCATGGGACTCCATTCACATATTTGCGAGACATTATGCCCAGGTGCAGGACTCTTCTGCTGATGCCTCCTTTGGGACAGGATTACTCCTTTCAGCCCTACAATCAACATCCGCACACCCTCCTACTTAGGTACTGCTTGTCAGTCACCCACAGTGGAATACCATAGGGACCATCACTTGAAGAAGAAGAGGAGATTACTTACCTGTAACTGGAGGGTCTTCGAGATGTGTGGTCCCTATCTGTATTCCACTACCCACTCTCCTTCCCCTCTGGTTCAGATCTTATTTGATTTGTGGTAGAGAAGCAACCAGAGAGGCGGTCAGTCCAGCCTGCCCTTTGTGAGGTGAGGCAGGGGGCATGCGTGGACCAACAGACACTGTTTTCAAATGTTCCGGCTCTGGGCTCATGGTGCACATGCATAACCCACAGAGGAATACAGATAGGTACCACACATCTCAAAGGACCTCCAGTTACAGGTGAGTAACTCCTCTTATTCACTTGACTCAGTCTTTTCATCCATGCCTTAAAAATAGAAATTTCAGACAATTTGACCTTTTCTGTGGTACTCATGCCCATAGAGTCTCAGCACCTCCCACACAGGAATGAAGCTATCCACTCTGCTCCCTTGTAAAATGGTATTCTCCCCACTTTTCAGAGGAGGAAACTGAGGGACAGGGAGATTAAGCATCACACAGAAAGCCTGGCATAGCCTGGAACAAATCTGTGAACCTACGATCTCCTGAGGCTCAGTGCAGTCCTTTAACAAGAATCACCCTTCCTCCTTCCATTGTAAGATGTTCAGAGTTTTCAAACCCAAAATTATAAGCACAATAAAAAGCTTAGAATATGTGTTCTTGGTGATAAAAAGTAAACAGTCTCAATCATACCTTGTACCAGTGTTCGGTTGAAATTCTCCTCTTGGATCCATACCCCGTCTGGAAGGAGTGCAGAATGTATAAGTGATGCCTCCCCCATGGAATGAAGGGGAGAATTTTACTCTTTCTTTCACAGACAGGGTAGCAATTTGGCTATCTTTTTAATTCATAGGCTACAAAAAATGCTGACTATAGCTGGACGGTAGCTATCAAACAAGTGACTGTTTTCCTTCTCCTTTATATCTGAATAAACTGAACACATTCACATTTTCTTGTCCAATTGATTATTTTTTCCTCCCCTTTCAAAATAAGTAAAAGAAAAAATGCACATTTTTATTTAAAACAAAAAGAGCAAAGACTCAGTTTCCTTGCAGTTAAGGCCAAGCTTCCATGCAGTTCAAATTCAAATTTTCAAAACTGGCTATGTAATCCTGCATTATTTGTTGCACTTCTGTTGCATTTGCAAAACATGCATTTGCACGTGCATGCAGTTACCTTTTACGCCAACCAAATTCTAACTAGTGTGAGTGCAGGCTTTTCAGGTACCTGATCCTGTAAGTCAATGGCAAAACTAGAGTTGCCAGCCCTCCAGGATTGTCCTGGAGTCTCCAGGAATTAAAGATTAACCTTTAATTAAAGATTATGTAATCTGATGAAACCTCCAGGAATACTGCCAACCAAAGTTGGCAACCCTAGGCAAAAGTCCTCCTGGGAGCTGGATTGGACCCTTTGTGTCCATACACATTTTGTGGAAGCAGTATTTAAAATATGTCCCTTAAAGATAAGAATTCTAGTTCAGTATCTACTGTAATCAAGGCTCAGAGAGCTTCAGAGAGAATAGGAAGGCCTTTTAGGTCATCGGCGTCATCCCACAGAAGTCAGTGCAGAATAGCATATTCTGTTTTTTGTGATTTTTTTCACTGTAGGACCCCCAAAGAGGAGCACAGACAGAATTCAGACATACATGGACACACACACAGGGGGTAAGGAGACACTCTCCTTTTAAAGCAGTTAAGTGTTTCTCCAGGAGCAGGACTGGAAACAAGGCTGGAGCAAGAGCAGGACCTGTGGGACTCGTCACCACTATCAGGCAGGGGATTGTTCCAAGCCATTCTGTGACACTGGGCAGACTGAGCTACTGTTTCTCCTGTGAGGCTTATATAGGTGCCCTGAGAGTCACCAGAGCAGCTGCTGGCTTGTGCATTGACTGGAGCCTGGCAGAGGAATGACTCATCAATGCGAGGGATTTAATCAGGCTCTGGTTCAGGGATGACTCACCACCTCACATTCCCACACTGTAGTTCCATTCTAAAGCTAGTGAATGAATCAGTCTTGCAAAGGTCAGAGTGTTGCCCCCGAAACTGCATAGCTGCTCACCAGCCACGTCCTCAAGGAGACACGAAAGAGGAGTCATCTTTACACTTCTTCCCATCAAGGTTGCGCATGACCCTGCCTGCAACAGACTGTCCTCTTTTGGGACCGGGCAATGTATTGCATCATGTTGCAAAAATTATTGGCAAAACTGTGTAGAGTTTTCATCTTCCACTGACTTGGGAAGCTTGTTCCATATATGGAAGCAATAGAGCTCATCTTGCTGGAGCTGGGAATAGTTCCTCTAAAAGTGCCATTACAAGCAAAAGGTATTGCTGCTTCCTTCTAAGAGAAACATCATACTGTATCAATACCTGGGTAGGCAGCATACGTTCCCCCGAGTGTTGCTGGTTTGGGGCTTTCTCTGTAGATTTCCATAGCTTCAGTGGGTTCTTCTCATAATTCTAACATTTCTTTTGAATGCTTTTTATTGTGAACATTTACTGTGACTGGGTTTTTTTTTTTAAGGTGACATTGAATGTGTTTAAATTGCTTGTCTCAGTTTGTTGTGTTCAGAGTAATTAGCATTAATTTTCGTGACCAAAAAAGGAAAATGATGTCTTAAAATTCCTTATAAACCTTAATGGGAAAAGAATGCCTGCTCTCAGCACAAAGGTTTTGAGAGTGCACTTTGAAGTCAAGTTACTGTTTCCTGTAAGAAGGAATTTTGAATGGATGGGCTAAAGCAAACTTAAAAGGACACTATCAGGTTACTGGGGATCTAGGGTGGGTGAGTTGGTTCAGGGATCAGAGGGACCCCTAGTTCTCGCCACAAAAGCTGACCCTGTTCGTGGATGCTACCCCTGTCATAATGAATCAGCCAGAGGGATTCCCTCCAGAACAGCATGAGGAGACTAAGTGCACAGCCTCTGCAAGTAGTCCCAGTCCCTGCTATCTCTTGCAACTAGTCTCAGAACCCAAACTCAGATCCCATGGGGAAGGGTAACTCCTTAACATAAGAACGGTTATACTGGGTCAGACCAAAGGTCCATCTAGCCCACTATCCTGTCTTCCGACAGTGGCCAATGCCAGGTGCCCCAGAGGGAATGAACAGAACAGGTAATAATCAAGTGATCCATCCCCTGTCGCCTATTCCCAGCTTCTGGCAAACAGAAGCTAGGGACACCATCCCTACCCATCCTGGCTAATAGCCACTGATGGACCTATCCTCCATGAACTTATCTAGTTCTTTTTTTCAACCCTGTTATAGTCTTGGCCTTCACAACATCCTCTAGCAAGGCGTTCCACCAGTTGACTATGCGTTGTGTGAAAAAAATACTTCCTTTTGTTTGTTTTAAACCTGCGGCCTATTAATTTCATTTGGTGACCCCTAATTCTTGTGTTATGAGAAGGAGTAAATAACACTACCTTATTTACTTTCTCCACACCAGTCATGATTTTATAGACCTCTACCATATCCCCCCTTAGTTGTCTCTTTTCCAAGCTGAAAAGTACCAGTCTTACTAATCTCTCCACATATGGAAGCCTAATCATTTTTGTTACCCTTTTCTGAACCTTTTCCAATTCCAATATATCTTTTTTGAGATGGGGCGACCACATCTGCATGCAGTATTCAAGTTGTGGGCATACCATGGATTTATATAGAGGCAATATGATATTTTCTGTCTTATTATCTATCCCTTTCTTAATGATTCCCAACATTTTGTTCGCTTTTTGCACTGCCATTTCCATGCGAGGCTGACCCTGGTTTTTAATATTTTGTTTTCAACTCTTGTCTCTGAGATGCTTCACACTAGCATCACAGTCTCTTCGGGCTTTGCCTTTTTTTTTCATTAGCCATGCATTTGTATTAGCAGAGGGACGGACAAGATTTTTTTTATGTCTCCAAATTGTGTGTGCCAAATCTTGCACTAGTTGGTGCTGCTAGGCTAAACAGTGACTCTGTAATTTATGCTGGTGGAATCCTACTGGCCAAGTGGCCACTTAGTGCTCCCTTCACCCTCTTTCCCCAGTCATGCAGCAGCATATAATGGAGGGTTTTTTATCCCTCTCTATTACTCATGGTGCATTAACAGATATGGGACTCCCTTGTTTATATGATTATAATCACTGATGGCATCTATAAGGTCAACACAGCTCAAGGATATGGTTTATTTGGTTAACCAGGCCTCTCTCTGCTAAATGGCTGTCAATGAGGGATGAGAAGAGAGGCTATTTCTGGCTCAATAAGGGGGCCTCTTCCCAGGACCATTAAGTTGGCTCATGGTAATTAGAGATGGGAAAGACTGTTCATTCATGAAGAGTCAGCACCAATTTAATGGAAGTCTTTCCACTGACTCCAGTAGGCCTGGGACCATGCCTCAGTGCAGGGGCTAGCCTCTCAGCAGAAGCAGAATGGGATATTAATCAGAATAATGCTGCACATTCAGAAACCACCTATGAAAACTTGTTCGCAAAAAATGTCAAGTCCTGGTTTGCCAAGCTGTGATCGGGAGAAGGTTCAGATAAGCATCTGAACTTGAAGTAGCTCATCCAAAACCCAGGACCTTGTGGAGTCCACTCATTGCTACTGTCAAGGTGTCTATGCCATACAATGCTGTTTGGTCCTGTATTTAACCGTGATTGGTCTAAATTAGTTACTGGTAAAACACATGTTTTGAACCCACAGGACATTCAACATAGCATTTTATTTAACGCGGGTCGAAATTTGGACTGAAAATTTGACTGTGTCCTAATTATAGCAGCACTGCCTAATGTCCTGGAGTTACTATACTGCAGGGTACGCACAGTAAATAAGTAAAATATCTCTATTAGGAAATAGATTAAGTTGAAGGCTTAACACCATTTCAGATCTGTGTGATTGCCTCAAAGATAATGATTCCTTGGAACACACCACACTGTCTCTGGAGGACTTTGAGCAAGAATTAATTTGAGATTAGTATCTGGTAAAAACTAGATACTACTTTGGTTAATTTAATCAGCTGGACAGTCCCGTTTGAATTTGAGTCGATATTCATCATTGCATGTGCCTTTTTGGAAGTAATGCTTTGGAATTTATCACCATGTGCTTTTCCATTCGAAAAATATACAGGATTATCTGAAATGAAATGTGTTGGAAACCACTGCATAATTCATGAATTGTTTGGCAGCCTTTTCCATGCCAGTTCTGTATGAGAAATTTTAATGTGGGAACATATTGTGTGTGTTTTTAAATACTAACCTAAAGCTGTCCTTCCCCTCCCTTTATTTTCTGCTCTCCCTTTTCCACAAGCTTCCATAGTGACTGTCATACAGCTTGTCAACAATGTAGTTGACACTATAGAAAATGAAGGTATTTAATTTTTTTTCTTTATTATTCTGCAAACATTGCCTCCTGTATTCTTTGTTGAAACACTACAGCAGAACCTCACTAATCTACACTGACTGACAAACTCACTACAGATGACGGCTTTAGAAATTAGCAAGGTCACAGACAAACACAGCAGAATAAGAGCTAGGATGATGCATCACAAAATCTACTTTGGTAATTTTGGGTGACATCCAGGGTACAGAAAGGCACATGGGGCTTGATCCTGTGCCATTCAAGTCAATGGGAGTTATTCTGTTGACTTGAATGGGAGCAAGATTAAGCTCATGACGTAGCCAAATTGCTGTGGCTGTCCTACAGGTAGATGCTTGGGAACTGTTTAACCCCTGACCACAGTGGAGCTAAGTTCTGCAGCTCTTCACTCCACAGGACCACATGGAGGGGAGATGGGGGCTGAAGGTCGGCGTGGGCATAGCCAAATGGTCCCAAATGCCACAATGCCAACACACGGGTTGTGCAGAAAGCTATGGATGCTACTACAGAAACATGTCCTGGTTCTCAGTTAGAGTGAGGGTTAGATAGCCCCCCCCATTGGAGGCAGTATTGCCTAGTGAATAAAGCATCGGACTCAGGACAACTGGGTTCTGTTCCCAGCTGGAACACTTAGCTTGCGGGGCAAGTCACTTCACCTTGCTGTGCCTCAGTTTCCCCACTTGTAAAATGGGGATAATTATACTCTCCTCCTTTGCAAAACCCTTTAAGATCTACTGGTGAGAAGTGCTATCTAAGAGCTAGGTTTTATTATTTATTTGCTAAGCCCATCAAGTCTGGCTTGCTCAGGATTTCACGCTTATTTAGCAGGCATAGTTTAGTCCAGCCTTACAGACTACTGCTAGCCCAGGCTGAGTAATGTTTCTGATGTCTTTATTATAATGGCAATAAATGGGGAGCTAGATGATTTTGTGCCCAGGCTAGTATATTTTCATGGCAGTTTTCAAAGATTCATTTAGCCGGAATTGCTTATGAATATACTTGCTTATTTCCTGAGATCTAAGGATATGTTGTCTAACATATACAATGTAATAAAACCAATACAATGAGGTAATCAATGTTAACTAATAAAATAGACTCCACCCCAAATTAAGAAAATAAGAAACAACGCCAATACCTCAGTGTCTCAAGGCAAAAACTTGAAAAACAAATTGGCTGTACACCATGCCATAAAGGTCAGTTGACTCAAGACAATGTAGAAATAAATTTCAGAAGCCTCCACTGAAAATGTTGTGCCCACCTCCAGACTCCTGATGTGAGACCTAGATGTTCTGTGGTAGAGTTGGGTGAAAGCAGTGGATTCTTAGGGTATGTCTACGCTGCGAAGTTGTCGACAAAAACAGCCCCCCCCCGCGAAAGATAAAAGTTTTGCCGACGTAAGCGGCACTGTGAATGTGGCTTTGCGACAAAGCTAACGCCGCTCGCGGTGTAGACAAGCCCTTAGTCACATGAGACCTCACAACATCATCTGCTGTTAAATCCTTGCTGGGAAGTCGGGGCAGGGGGCAGAGGGCATTGTTTCATGTGGGAATTGTGGGTGGTGCAGGTTCAGCAAATTAGTGAGGTTCTACTGGGTAGTGAAAAGATGCAGCTGCTAAGGTACCTGGTGCGCCGTGGGTACAGTATAATGGCACTGACTGAAGACCGCTGGGAGGAGAGCATAATGCTGGTTACAAACAAAGAGTGTTGTCAGTGTAATCCAGCGGTCCCCAAATTGTGTGGTGCAACCCCCAAGGGGGGAGCATGGAGGAACATTTGGGGGGGCGCAGCTGGGGCCCAGGCCAGCCCCCATGTGGGGTGGGGAGGGAGTGCCACCCAGTTCTGCTCCTGGCCCCACCCCCAGCTGTGGCACCAGCCTTGGCCCCCTTACCCCGTACCCCCCCCCCCCCAGAGCCACAGCCTCGCTCCTGGCCCCAGGTCGGGGTGGGGAGCACGAGATAAAAATTTGGGGACCACTGGTGTAATCATTCCTTTTAGGCTCTTTTTGGACAATATTTGGATGGCTAGTGGAGGTTCAGTGCCGCCACACATGCAGCCTCCAGGCAAGCATGTCCCCAGCCATCCCAGAGACCAGTTGGGAGGCTAGCATGTCGTTTACTAACCACGCTACATTCCCATGTAAACTGGCCTGGTGCTGAATGAGAGCTCTATGTGATGTTAATAAATTGAGCCCCCAGGGAACTGGGATGGTTTCCCTCCGACCCCCCTTCCACACACACTTTTATCTCAGCCCTGGCTGGGATACATAGATTAATACATTTGAAGGCCATAAAGTACCTTTATGATGATTTAATCTGACCTCCTACAATAACACAGTCCATAGATTTTTGCTCAGTGATTTCCTGCATTGAGCCCAGTAACTAGTGATTGAATTATTAGAGCTTCTTTTTAAGAAAACATAACAGGTTACTCTCCTCCCATTTAACGCAAAACCTTCATCCCTCTTCTCTTCCCTACCCCATATTGGAATCCCCCTTCCCCCATCAGCTAGCATGGCAGAACAGTTTGGGGGTCACGGGTGTAGGATCGGGGAGCATGCAATCTTGGGTAGTATCGCTGATAACCCCATGGAATGGCTTTCTATTCTATTCAGGTTTTTATACCATGCCCATCATCATGATACACCTCTACCTCGATATAACGCTGTCCTCGGGAGCCAAAAAATATTACCATGTTATAGGTGAAACCGCGTTATATCGAACTTGCTTTGATCCACCGGAGTGCGCAGCCCCGCCCCCCCTCCCCCGCTCCCCCAGAGCACTGCTTTACCGCGTTATATCCGAATTCGTGTTATATTGGGTGGCGTTATATTGAGGTAGAGGTGTATCTGAACTGAGATTTGTTTGAACTGGCCCTGAGAATGGTAGATTCTTATTTTTCCATTTCAAAGTGAGCAAGAGAGAGAAAAATATATTATACAGTTATAAACCTTACAGACTGTGGGTGGCCCTTTCATACTAAGAATTCCAGCTTTAATTTAATTCCATATTTGTTAAGGGAGGATAGATAATTAAGATGATGAAAGGAAAGGAATATGACCTGCTGATACAAGTAACAGAATGTTTCCATATATGCCTAAGTTTGACTCTGCAAGCTTACCTGGTACGTTAAACTAAGGCGCAATTAAAAATGCTATTAAAACAACGTACAGCCAGCTGTATTTTAGACATATGCATGCTAAGAGTTGTATTTTCACCTGTAACTCTATGCTGGTAGCAAGCTTTGAATTACCAGCTTTTACTTTTCACTTTGTATCTAACAGTGTCTGTTATGGATCAAGGACAGAACTACAACAGAGGTGACTTTTCTGAGATGCTTTCTGCCTTTTGGACTGTGTCGGTGGGGGGGAAGGCATTGGTTTCTGTTTTCTCAGTATCGATGTGCTTCATCTGTCTTCCCTCTTCCGGATTATATTATGTCCAAATTCTGCATGCTTGGGAATTTTGCCATCCAGTGTTTACTTCAGGAGCAGTCCATACTTTTTGACCTCTCAACCGTTCACTTTGTGTGTCCTGTGTATTTTCTCTCCTAAAACAAAGTTGTTTGGGGGTGACAGACGTGCTATTTTGAGCATGCTGGATTTTTTAAAATCTCTTGTGAAAAATATTAATTCACAGATTTCTAGCATTTTGGTTTCTTAGACTCATAATTTCTAATACACTTACTTGCATCCTTCAGTGTGAAATGCTTTCAGATGGTCATGTTTTGTTTCTTTTAATCTTTGTGTTGGCACCGTGATGTAAAGTTGTTTCCCCCCCACCCCTCTGGGGAGAGCATGGCTGACCAGTTTTAGCAGGCTATGGAGCATGCTGATTATATTTGCATTTGTGGCTGAAATTTGCTGTGAATATTTGCTCTGTAGCAGGTGCATGCAATAGGTTTTGTTCTTATTACTCTCCATCCTAAAGAGTTTGTTCCCCTTTACAGCTTATCATTGGGACACCTCTGACTGGATGCCAAGCGCTCGATTGTCTGACATTGAGGAAGTGCCCAATTATGAAACAGCAGATGGAGGCTCGGTGCATCATGGAAGTAACAGGGAGCTGGAAACTGATTACTACCTTGGTGGCTATGACATTGACAGCGACTATCCTCCTCCTCACGAAGAGGAGTTTTTAAGTCAGGACCAGTTACCACCTCCGCTCCCAGAGGACTATCCAGACCAATATGAAACCCTTCCGCCATCCCAGCCAGTCTCTATGGCTAGCACACTCAGCCCAGATTGCAGACGGCGGCCACAGTTTCACCCTAGCCAATACCTCCCTCCTCATCAGCTCCCCAATGAGATGGACGCTGCTGGGTCTCAGACTGTGAATGAATTTAGTACTTTTGCTGTTGTCCCAGGCCAGAGCGTGGAAAACGTTAGTGCAGGTAAGATGCCCTTATCCTTACACAACTCTCTGGATGCCTCCTCATCTGACATCTCAGCCAGCTGTGGCTTTGACGATTCCGAAGTAGCCATGAGTGACTTTGAAAGTGTGGAGGAACTCATCCTAGATAATGTTCACATTCCATTTGTGGAGACCCAGCATCAGACACAAGTGTAAAGGAGACTTTTTTTTTTGGTGGTCATTTGGTCCAATTAACAGTATAAATACTGAGAAGACATTTTGGTAAAGATATATTTATGTATATTGGGCAAGGCAGAAATCCAGTATAACCTATTAACTTGTTCAAAAATGATACTGTATGTGCAGACACAAAGAGATCAGTTATGTTAAGCTGTATGCCACAAAATTGTTACAGACAATCTGGAGAATATGTACCATCTATTTATTACCAAGAGTACACTCACAGAGTTTCTGAGGGGGGAAACAATTTCACCTTTTAAGTTCCCTTTCTTCACCTGCTATTTATTTGGTATTGTATTATTAAAAGTGTTACAATCTCTCCGTGCAGTATTAACAAACGGGAGGATGATTCCAAGAGGCACTGTTGCATGAAATTTTAGGTCAGCTAAAGAGTGAAAGAATTTGATCATATGTAAAACAATTCCATTGGTTTTATTAAAAAAGCATTTAAAAGACAACTTATCGACATGGATATCTGTCCATAAATAATTATTTCTTTATAGTTTTGTTTATATATCACATCAAATCCTAGCTTGTGTGTATAGAGTAAGACAGATATATGCATTATATATTATACACCAAACTAGACTAGGTTGGTTGCCATTATTCAAACTTACTTTCAGATGTTTGTGTGTACATTGAATTATGAGACTTTCCAAATATTGTGACATTTAACCCTTGCGAGTTTGACTCACTAATGGCCAAATTCTGCCCTTAGATACACGCGTGTAACTCCCAGTGACTTGTGTACAGAATGTGACCACGTATCTGAGAACAGAACTGAACCTGAACTACATTTTGCTGCTTTTATTTTGGGCTTCCTTGCAGCTTTTTAACAGCAGTCATAGTGCTGTCATAGTCCAGTTAAATTAGTTTTAATTAATTTGCATACACATTCTACTATAATCTTAAATTGCTAGGTCAACTACAGTTGAAAAATGTCCTGCCCTCGAGTGTGTGGAACAGATCCTCAGCTGGTGTAGTCAATGGAGGAATGTTTATTTACGTCAACATCAGCTGAGTATCTGGCCCTGTATTCCCTCAGAACTCCCAAATAGTATTCACAGAGTTAAAAGCACTTTTGTATAATACTGTAAAATGCAAAAACAACACATCAGGTTAATTTTTGGCATTTCACATTAATCATCCAGAGCAGGTTAAACGCAATATGGAAATCTGTTTTTTCCACTCACTGCAGTAAAAATATATATACGCCCTTTATTCAATGCTGTGAAAATATTTTTACGAGTAGTTCTACAGTATTTGTACATCTCTGTGGCTATACGTTGTACATTGAATAGTAGGAAGTCTTCACTTTGCATTAATGTTTTATTATCCACATCCTTCCCTAGCAGAACTCAGTCATTCTGAAAGTTTATTGAATAGGTAGAAGTTATGGATGAATGGATGCTCTAACAGGTTTTTCATGCTGCTGCCTTATCCTGTTTCTTGGTCAAATAAGTTAACTGGATCGTTTTTAGGAAGAGAGATTCTTGACTGAACTGAATTTTACCCATTCGGTTGTCATAAGTCAGTCTTATTTCTTATCATACAGCTGGTGATTATTCAAAAGTTGCCCCAAAAGAAAACAGGTTATTGAGAATGTTACTTATATAGTTGTGTAGCTTGTGACACTTTTAATAAAACATGGTCTCTAAAATTTGCAGTGTAACCTGATATTTCAATGCTTCCCTCCAGTATATCATATATCAGTAGAAGATTGGTTTTACTTTGGATCATGCAACAATTCTTCATTAGAAAACAATCCAGTTACAGTATGTAGAGGTACATAATTAATAAAGTGGACTTTAGGCAAGACAATGTACTGCACATACAAGTATTATGAAGTACTTGCCTGCATATAGTTCGTGTTCATTGAATTTATGAATGTCACTTGGTCTCCTCAAAGCAGACGTGCTTCTGTAAGAGTGATATGTTCTAAATGTGTTCATGGTACATTTTGATCCCCTTTCCCTCCCACTCTCCCACCATTTTTAAGAAAAAATACAGATTTCAAATATATCATGATTGCAAGGAAAATGAGGGATTTCCCTACAAACCATGAAATAGTTTGGCTAAGGCCAAGGCACAGATGCAGTTATGCAGCATGACCATGCCTTGCTTATAAAGTTTACATTGCAGAGAAGTGGTTGCAAGGAATAGATTAGTATTACTTCAAGGATAGGAATATTTGAGTTTTAACAAATTTTAAAAGCTGCAAGTTTAGCTGTTGTGCAATAGTTTTAATGCTGATATGAATTTCTATGAATTAAATACTCTTTTAGAACATGGCTGTGACATACATGGGGTTTGTTTCAAGTCAACTCTTAATGTACTATATTTTGAACTATTATGCAATGAACTTTCTTTTTTGCCCCCAATTAGTTATTAAATATACTCACCATCTTCATCTGTAGAAAACATCTTTGGGTAATAGATCCCTGAGACACTGGTATCTAAGTTATTTTCCTTATAGGGACATATCAAAAGTGTCACAAAGGGAAACACAATTGGTAACATAGCAATTGCCATACCAGAAAAGACCAATGGGTCTTACTAAGCTTGTTGCCTCAGTAATATCTTGTGGGCAGTGAGTTTCACTGGTAAAATACACTAGCTTCAGTATATACTTCCTTTTCTGTCTTTTAAATTTTGTTGCCATTTCATTTAATCAAGCGCCAATTTGTTAATGTGCTATGGAGAAGGGGATATAGGAGCACATGATTTACCTTCTCCGTACCATTCATGATTTTATATACCTCAATATCTCCTCCTCTCCAAACTAAATAGACCTCCTGTATTCAGTCTTTCCTCAGACAGAAACCCCTCAATTCCTATCCCCACTTTTGTTGCCTTTCTGGTTCTCTTCTGGTTCTTTTCAATGACCAAACTTGAATGCAGATCTCAAGGTGAAAACCTTCCCAAGCATTACAGCGTGCAATAACATTCTCACATTACTTTCTGTCTCCTTGTTAATACAACTCAGCATCTTATTTGCTTTTTTAATTAATGGTGTGCTTTGGTTAACTCCGATATGAACCAAATGAGTACATAAGTAGGTAGATTACACTATTCCATCCGATGTATGTCACTCTGTCGTATGATGGGTTTTTTCTGTTGCTGTCTTCTCAGCTGCCTAGTTAGGCCTTTCCTCAGAATCCCGGCTAGTCTTGACTAACTGCCATTGTGCCTGTAGAGTGTCACAATTCACATTCCTGTAGATGGCTCCACTGCATGATATTTCCCTTCAGATTCTTCTGTAAAGGGTTTTCACAGAATGACTACAATATCAAACGATGATATTCCACGGCAAAACCACAGTCCTTTATGGTAAATACACTCTTTGCTTTTTATTTAAAAAAAAAAAAGGCAGCAACTACTCAGAAAATAAATTCATATCTTTATCAGAATTTCTTAGACTTCCAAGATGCTTGAGGGTCTTACTTACACGATGCATATGTTCTATTTTTGACAAAGGGTCAGATTCTCATTTACACCAATGCTCCTTTAAGGGCCTTAAAGTGGGTGTCAACGCCATTTATACTGCCAAGACCCTCTAAAGTGGCCTTAGCATAAAGGAGAATCTGGCAATCATGTTTTTTTTTTAATTATTGTTAACATTTTGCCTCCAGTTTATGAGCTTCTGAGGTAAAAAAAACTAGCACTCCTGCTCTGGCTCCTTTACACTGGGTAAAAGGGCCTAAAAGTCCCATATAAAGGTCGGGGAGGATTCGCCTGGCACAAGCACTGCAGGAGACAGCAATAGGGCTGCCCTTCCAAGAGTCCTTTCTCAAGGCAAGGTTTGGAAGACAGGAGCAGCCCATGGTCAAGAAGACACAAAGGTGGTTTAGAGACCCCCAGCTCCACCTGGGCTGCACCTCTCAGAGGCACAGCACAGAATCTCACCCTGAGCATGTTTCTTAGAGTTGGTTAACTTTGGTCCTCAACAAACAGAATTCTAGCCTGTTATAAAGCCTTTGATATGTTACATGACAATTGTTGTTGTGCCTCAATACAAGTTGCAATGGAAAAGGCAGGTCTAGCAGGAATGGTGTATATATATTTGTGTGTAGCAAGTCATACTCCTGTTTGAAAATCATGCCATGATATTTAAACCCCACAACCCAGGAGTGACTCAAGGTGCGGTGGACCATTACTGTTGATTACTGCAATGCTTTCTTTAAACGGCTGGTGTCATTCATAATTAAGGAAAACAGTTATTTTAAACAAATAGAGGAAATCCATCTTTGTTAGATCAATATTACCATTTTAGCCTTTTTTTTTTTTAATTATTACATGAGTAATTATGGAAGTTAAAAGGTTCTAAAGGGGAGAGAGACTTCTTTAGATTCATGATGGTACATGCTCTATGGTATAGTTCTCTGCTTTTTTGCCAGTTTGCATCTCTGTCCTCTCAGTATACGTCAGTGATACAACAAGCCCTAGAAATTAACAGTATTCGCATTATTATCCATTGTCTTTAGCCTGTAGTCTGTAAACTTGACCTACAAAGTCACACATTAACAGAAGGGGCATTGATTTACCTATAGCCACATCTTATAGGGGAGGAACAGGAGGATGGGCGGGGAAAGAATAAAACAAAATTCATTTCTTTATGTAATAACAAAAAGCAATAATTACAAATACGTAGTATTATGCGAAGGCCATAACTTGTCGTTACCAGTGTTAAGGATGCACTTGAATTGTATTATGGGAATGAGATTGGGACCCTCAGTACTGTAATTATTCTTCCGTCATATGAATACCTGAATTGCTACTATTTAACAATTTTATGAGCCCATACTACTGCTTTTCAGGAAGTGACAAATGCATTTGGGAAATGGAAGCAGTTCTCTTTAAAGCACTGTATCAGAAAGATTGTCTTGTAAATTTTACCTGTTGCAAGCAGGCTGGTTTGTAAAAGATGTATGTTTTGGTGTTTAAAAAGAAGTTTATAAAAATAATGTATATAATGGTTTCAAATTACCAGGCTTTTGTAGATATTTGATGCCAATCAAGTCGCTTTAAATTTTGTTTGATATAATTAAAAGAAAGTCATCCAAGTTGGTTTAAACTTTTAAGGTAATGGCAAAAAAAAACAAAAAAAAAGTTTTAGATTTGAAAAAATGGTAATTTTTACTCATTTCAAATGTACTGTAACTTTCCTTTTGGTTCAGCTCTTTTCATTTAACTTTTTCTGTTTTTAAGAAGATGTTTTTTATTGACTTTTTTTAAATCGATGTGTTTTGCACAAAGACTTAGAGACATGATTTTTACGCCAAGTCAAGTAGCTGTTAAGATACGTCATTTCTTCATCGACAAAAAAACAACCTTATGCAAAGGAGAAGGTAATCGCTTCGAGTGGATCTCGACCCTCATCTGAAGATTAATTGTTCCTTCATAATTGCTGTTGGCAGTATTGTCTTGTGTTCTTTTGCTATAAAAAAGAAAAAAGTGTACAGGTTTGTAACTGCCAAAATTTGCTAAAGTTGATGGTTAAAACAAGTTTAAGTAAAAAAACAAAAAAAATCCTACTTGTGGTTACTATTTATTGACGTTTTCATTAGGACACATTTTGAAAAGAGGGATTCAGATGAGGCATATAAATTCTGCCAGCAGTCTAGGGAAAATTCACATTGCAATGTATAGTTCTCTCTCCTGTTCGTTGTCATCCAGAAAGCACTGCACTTTTCAGATTCTTCAAATCCGCCTCCTCCTTATAGCTCAGTAACAAAGCGAGACACTATTGTGCTAGGCACGGTGTACACAATTACTAAAACAAAGTCCCTGACACAAAGATCTTTCAGTCTACTCAGAGTTCTGTGTATAGGGGTTCATGACAGCAGAATTCAAGGGATTCCCCCACCCACAAGATTCATTTAACTCTAGACACATTTGCTCAGATCTTCTGACCCACCTGCTCCCAACGTGCTGAGAAGAAACACCAGCTCCAAGTAAGAAGGGAAACTGTTTCAGAGCCCTTC